AGCTGGCAAGGGGCCGGCAGCCAGAACCCCAGACAGGCAGCGGGCTGAGCGGGGACGGCGGCTGGGATCCCAGACCAGCAGTGTGCTGAGCGGCTCAGTCCACTGCCGGCTCCTGCCAGCCAGGGTCCCGGCTGCCGGCCCCGCTCAGCCCCGCTGCCGGTCTGGGGTCCCGGCCCTGCCCACGTAGAGTGGGTACCTATCTTCTCCCTGGTTCTAGCCCATTCTCTTCCCACTGAGCTGAGGGTGGGAGTGCGCTGAGCACAGGGCTGGGGGTGAAGGAGCAGGCTGGGGGTTGGGGTGCAGGTCTGGCCAGGAGCTAGAATGAGGGAGGGGGCTCAGGGTTGGGGCAGGAGGTTTGGGTGTGGAGCGCTTACCTGGGCAGCTCCCATTTGGTGCGAGGGGTGCAGGTCAGAATGTGGACATGGGTGTGTGCAGGAGCTCCCGTTTGGTGCTCAGGGTGGGGGCGGGAATGTGGGGGGTGCAAGAATCAGGGCATGGGGTGTGGGGGGCTGGGTATGTGTGGGTGGTGCAGGAGTCAGGGCAGAGGGCTGGGGGTGTGTGAGGAGGGTGCAGGAGTCAGGGCTGGGGGGGGCTGGGTATTTGTGGGGGGTGCTGGAGTCAGGGCTGGCGTTGTGGGGGGGTGCAGGGGTCAGGGCACGGGGCAAGGGTGTGGGGGGGGTGCAGGGGTCAGGGCAGAGGGCTGGGGGTTTTTGAGGGGGGTGCAGAGGTCAGAGCAGAGGGCTGGGCGGTGTGGGGGGTTCAGGAGTGAGGGTAGAGGGCTGGGGGTGTGTGAGGGGGTTCAGGGCAGAGGACTGGGTGGCGTGGGGGGTTCAGGGTCAGGGCAGAGCGGTGTGGGGGGTTCAGGGCAGAGGGCTGGGGGTGTGTGAGGGGGTGCAGGGGTCAGGGCAGAGGGCTGGGCGGTGTGGTGCAAGGAGAGAGCGGTGGGCGGGGGGTGGAGAAGATCAGGCCAGGCCGGGCCGGGCCGGGGTCCCCGGCAGACAGCAGCGTGCCATTAAAAACTGGCTCGCCTGCCGTCTTTGGCATGCGTGCCGTAGGTTGCCGGCCCCGGCCTAGACTATGATGTGCCACAGGCAGAGAACAGGCACGACCAAGGTGCCCCTGTGCCCTCATCCTGGCACATAACCTGCTCCCCCACGTTGCAGAGGAAGGTGAAAACCCTGCAAGGCCCCTGCTAAACTGACCTGAGGAAAAACTCCTTCCTGACCCCCCAGACGGCCATCGGTTACGCCTGTGCCTGTGAGCGAGCACCAGTCAGCCAAGCACCCGAGAGGGAGAATGCTCTGCACCCCTCAGAGCTCTGGCCCATCGTACACATATGGAGAAACCCCTGCCAGGGCAGAGGCTGAGTTAACGCACCGGTATTACAGCAATGCCTTCATCCCGGTGCCGTGGCCTTAACCTAGCCTTTCCCCCCCCACAGTTCTCATTGCACAACACCTGTGGAGGCTGTTACCCACAAAGGGACGGTTGGTCTTGTGGTTAAGTGTGACTCAAGAGACCTGGCTTCTATTCCTGCCTCCGCCACCGATGGTGCCCAACCTTGGGCAAGTCGCTAACTCTCGGCCTGCCTCAGTGTGCTCATCTGATGATGCTCCTGCTTTCTCCTCCCTCTTCACCTGTCTGCTCTATTTAAACCGTAAATCCTCTGGGGGCAGGGACTGTCTCTCAAGGTTGATGTACAGCCCCTAGCGCAACAGGACCCTGTTCTGCTTTCTAGCTAGTCTGGGCAACTTTTTCCCTGACCTGCCTTATCTTCCCCATTCTGTCCCATCAGCAAGTGTGGATGTCACTTTGCCAGCCAGTGAAAATGGACTGAAGGCAGCTTCCTCCGACACTGGACTGAAGACAGCTTCACTAGAAAACAGGGAACAGCAGGTAGGTAGATCCTGGGCATCCTGACAGTGCCACACTGAGCCTGTGAATGGAGATCGATGCGGGGGGGATTTAGGGGTGAGATCCCTTGTACCTAACGAAACACACTGTGCCCACAGTTCAAGTGCTAGCTGTCTGCCCCAGGGCAGTGGCTGGGACCTGGTGCCCGAGAAACAAGGCCCCGGGCTCTTTGTCTTGGGAAGGAGATTTCACCAATGAATGGCCCACCATGGGGATGGGCAGCTGCCCAAGGCACCCCGCTGGCTTAGAGAAGGGAGAGCCCATTCACATACCCAGACACAGTGCAGGGGGAAGAGCCTTTCGCTCTCCCCGTACAATGCCCTGACTCAGAAAGTCCGGACTTCCAGCAGTGTCGCAGGGTCAGAAAGCCTAGGGCCGTTCCCCTGGGTGGGAATGGGAGCTGGTACAAGCCAATCCTATTTCCTTAACTCCCACCCCGGTGGCTATTTTCCTTGGTTTAGTTTGCAGTGAACAGGGTGGTCAGCATGCCCTTGGTCACCCCAGTTTACGAGCTGACCCCTGCTACCTCCATGCAAGACAGCTGCTCCATCACCGAATCCACCTGCAAGGTGGCAGAGAAAGAAGCAGAGCCCGGCACCGCTGGAGCACTGACTCTGGCTGAACGGGGATCTCAGAGTGAGTCGTGGGTCGGTGGCCAGAGCTTGGGGAGGAGGAGGGGAACCTGAGAATGAAGCTGGAGCCTGCAGCCCCTGGGAGAAGCCGGACTGGTTTTGGTCCTTTCCCTCAAGTGTTCTTGCACCGTGAGCTCCCAGGAATCAGGGCCGTTGCTGGTCTTCATGTAGAAGACCAGTCTCTGCTCTCTAGGGGCGTGGAAGCATCATTCCGAGCGCGGATAGATCTGACGGAACCAGCCCACTAAAAACATCAGCAGAGCCAGGGCTGCACCAGCGGCAGGACAGAGGAGCTGCCCTGTGCACACTCCCAGTTGCAACCCTAGGAGCATCCTTGGGACAGCTAGTCCGGCCGCGCAGCTGTTATTAGCATGCTGGCTCGAGGACAGCCAGCGTGCATATGTCTCCTGCCCGGATCTGAGGGGGACCCTCTCTGTTCGCCTATCACACTCTGTTACGGACAGGGGCTCAGCCCCACTCCCTGGGGAACAGCTGTTTGAGCAGCAGAAATTCCAGATCTTGCAGGGTATTCACACTCCCTTTGGGAGCTTCCTAGAAGCGCCCATGTGATGCAGCAGAGAGATCACAAGCTGGGGAGTCGGAGGCAGGGCTGGAACGCAGCTGTCTTGCCCCAGAAAGTCAAGTCAAGCCCCAGGGAAGGGGAACCGGGAAGGGGAGGGTGACGCTGGCCCATCTGCAGGGGATACACTGAGCCGGGGGGGGCGGGTGAAAAGCTCTAGGCAAGTGCTACGTGTGGCTTGATAGTCATTTAAAGCACAGAAGGTGCCACACGCAGATGCTGCCCCGCAGCCTGTGCCCGCTCCCTCGGCGGCTGCCCAGTGCTCCACAACGGCTCGTTAACCAACCACCCTGCTGTCTGTCCCAACAGCTGGGCCAGCCAAGGAGACCAGGAGCACCGGGCTGGATAAAGGGAAGCTGCCAGCCCCTCCACAGCCACGCACACAGGTAACCATGTCTGCCTCCGCAGTCTTCCTGGGAAGGGCATCTCCCACTGAGAGACGAACCCAGCCCAGGCGCGGGGGACTGGTCGGGCGACCTGCCGTCGGGACGGCCAAACACCGATTGCTATGGTAATGCAGGAACACCGACCGCTGGGAAGAGCTGCCCGTCTGGTACTTACGTGTCCTCCTTTTCCCAAGTCTCTGAGCACCTCACACTCTTTATCCAAACCCCGCCCCGAGGCAGGGCTGTTACCCCATTGTACAGATGGGGAACGGAGGCATAGGCAGGCTAAGTGACTTGCCCAAGGTCCCACAGGGAGTCAGTGGCAGAGCAAGGAAGGAAGCTTACACCAGTCAGTCGGGGGAACTCAGACATGGAGGCAGCAGTGGGAGCCCCCTTGCCTAGGCAGAAGGGTTGTTAGTGTCTTGGTGTGAGGGCCTCTCCAGGATTAGCAGGGGGAACTTGCCCTCCTGACCCACTGCCCTCTCCCTCCTCTGAGTCACTGCCAGGTCTCTCTCCCTGACCCCAGCTACTCCTGCTTCCAGGTGGTGACAGAGACAACAGAGCCGGTCTCTTTCAAAGAGACAGACGTTATGCTGGCAGCAGCCAGCACAGTGGGCAGAGCAAGGGGCGCAGGGCCCAGCAGTGGCCCCAAGGCGGCCCGGGCCAGCGATTCGAGCCATCCCCACATGTGGGGTGGTCCCCGAGCCGCCATGACCAACAGCCTACGCAGCCTCATGAGCTCTAAAGTGGGTCAGCTCTTCCTCCGCAGCGTGGACAGAGCGCTGGACAAGTCAGAAGAGCTGATGAATCGGTACCTGCCCCTGACGGAGAAGGAGCTAGGTGAGAAGCTGCCCGAAGCACCGCTCTTCTCAGGGGTGTTCTAAAAGGACTGAGTCCCCCAGATCTCAGCACCTCCCCGCTCCCAATGTACCCCCGCACCTGCACTAGGTGTCACCCCTTGCACCTGCCACTCCTGCAGCCGGTGGTCTCTGGACCTGCTTCCCCAAGGAACTCATTAAACGAGTTTCCTGAGGCTTCCTATTTACCTCCTGGGAAGTTGTATAGGCCCAGATCCTCCAAGGGACAGTATTTGGGCTCCAAACTTCCATTGAGATCAATGGCACTTAGGTACATAAATACCTGTGAGGCTCCGGACCATAGTTCCTGCCTCCTCCTTAATGTGGTGTCCACCTCTCTCTATCTCTCTCCAGCTGCACTCACAATGGAGGGGCTGGACGTCTCCGCAGCAGAGCACCGTACGAAGGGCTGCCTTGTGCGGCTGGGGTCCCTGTCCACCAGCCTGCGGAACCGGGCCTTCATGCTGATCCTGAATAAGCTGAGACAGACCAGACAGAACACCCACGAGAACCTCGCTCAGCTCCACCAGACTATCAACCTGGTAAGAACACGCCCGGCCCTCTCCTCGGCCTCCCGCCTGGGAGCCGCGTGGCCTCGGACTCCGCCAGATCGTGGTTAGCAGGGACGCTCGCTCGCCCCTCCCCGTCCAGCCTCCCTCTCCGCTCTTGGTCAGCTCACTGGGCCCAGCTGACTCCACGGTGCTTTCTCCACCCTGCAGATTGAACACGTCCAGCAGGAGAAGAAGCTTCGCAGCAGCCAGGAGATGCTGCACAGTATGTGGGGCCAGCGGAGCCAGAAGCAGGAAGGAGGCCTCCGGAGAGAACCAGGGGGCAGCAAGGACAGCGGCTCCCAAGCCAGCAAGAGCACAGATCACCACTCCCCCGCCAGCAGCAGCAAGGGCAGCAGCTCCACGCAGCTAGAGGTACCTTCACTAGAAACAGGGTCGAAAGCCAGCGACTGCGGCGTCCAGGCAAGCCTCACGTCACTAACTCTTCCTTTGCTGTCTCACGGCAGGTGGAATCCAAGACCTTGGCCATGTCCCGTAGCCTGACGCAGCAGCTGCAAGCTACATACCTGAACCTCTTATCCAATGTCAGAGGCCTCCCCACACATCTCCAGGAAAAGATGCAGCAGGTGCATCAGAACATGGCGGAGCTGCATAGGTACTTCTCCTCCGCCAACTCCTTCCAGGACTTGCCCGGCAGCGTCCTAAACCAGAGCCGGGAGAAGGTGGCCAAAGCTTGGGAGGCCTTGGATGAAGTGACGGATTTTTTGTTGCAGAACCCTCCCGTCACGTGGCTTGTGGAATCCTTGGTTTCCCTTGAAGGGGAGCTGCTGGAGACAGAGGAGAAGGATATATTGAAAGTCCTGAAACACTACGAGCCACAGGACTGCAAAGATGACTAGCTAGTCAGTTTCCACGTTCAGACCAACCAAACCCTTTGAGCGGACAGAGACCTAACCCTAACCCTCTACTAGGATCTTCGGTTTTACTCTAGCCCTCATGGATACACCCCAAATGTGACCCCCCCCCAAGTTAAATAGCAATATCCAATAAACGGATGGCTTTGTCTTCCACACATCCCAGATCTCTTCCAAGCTAAGACAGATGGTGCTAGTTAGCTGGCTTCCTGGTCATTGCAATTAACGGAACACCTAACTAATTCTCTCTCCAGCGCCCTTACCTTACACGTTTGTACTTGGCACAGTTCTATTCCTAAACGGTAATGCTCCTGGAATGAGTTATGGTCGGTTATTTCACCAAAGAAGGTGGAAGGGTAAGTAGTTGGCGCTCACCGGAGAAGCTCTGCCTTTTAAGAGCGAGCATCCTAGTCTCACCATTAAACTTGACTTCAAATGTGGACATGCTGCGATCTCAGACCCGCAGCCACCGCTGGCCTGGAACCCAACAACTCCCCACCACTGGTTTGGGACCGGAAGTGACGAATACCATAACTAAGCAAGATCACGGAGAGCATTTATTTTTTAGAAGGTTCTGGAATTTGGCCAGGACAGCAAGATTAACGACCTCCCTTCTCTGCTTCCATGGGCCATGAGCTCTCAGAGGGGCAGCCCTACCCATGGACATCTTGATGTGAACCTGGGGCATTGACACAATCATGACTTCCAGAGAAGGGCGTCACCCACTGAATTAGCAGCAGCCGCACTTCCTCCAGCACAGGCGTGTTCAAGGGAGGTGGCCCATTCACGTTCTCCTCTAGCTCGCTCCTGCTTAGCTTGGAGAACTCAGCCAGCAGGTGGTTGATTCCCCACAACGTCCAGGAGATTCATCAGGCTAAGGATGGACCAAAGCTCAACTGCCCGGCCGGCCTAATCACCCTGAAATGCGCACATAAGGAGGAGGGGTCTCAGATTCCGCCCTCCTGTCTCCTTGGGGCTGGGATGGGGCAGGCAGCTGCCCCAGTCTCATTTCCCCTGTGCCCACAACAGTCTCCTGCCCCAAAGTTCCTCCCCCTTTGCTCTCTTATCCCCCATGTTCCATCCCCCACATGCTCTTAGTCTGCTTCGTGCCCCCCACATTCCTCAAATTGCTGTTTCCTACCTAGCTCCCCACCCACGGCCTCCCTACTGCCTGCAGGGCCAGTCTCTGCATCTGCCTTTCCTCTACCAGAGCCTCACACAGGGACGACGGCACCAACTTGCCTGAGGGCGGCCTGACTTCCCACCTGTTGGCACTACGGGGAGATGGTAGCCACCGTTACCAGGGTCAGCCTCACTTCTGCTTACCAAAGTTAAGGGGCTAAAGAGGCCGTCGTGCTGAGGGCAGCCTCTGGCTTCAGGCCTGTTGACATGAAGGCACGATGGCGGTCATTTTGGCTAAGGGCAAAATTTCAGAGGGAGGCCGAAACCAACAGGGACCCTTTAAAAGCCACCCAAACATCAGGGGAGCTGGCGACATTTCTACCCTCCCCCACCCTGCCACACCCTTTCCAACTGAGTTCCCAGCCCCCAGCCAATTTCATCTCAGCTCCAACTGATGCCCTTCATTTTACACCCTGCTCCCCCCTTCACAGCCCTTCGTACCAATCCCCCATCTCCCTCGCCTGCAGAAGGCAGAGACGGGGTAGCGGGGGGAGGGGGCAGGGCTGGGAGAGCAAAAGCAATTTCACACACCTGTTCTGCCCCACACCCCACGCAGTTCCGAGCGCATAAATAGTCCCCCATCACCAAAGTAACTGAGCGCCTCACAATTTCCCCCCCCCTCAACACACACCTGTCGGGCAAGGCAGTGCTGTTACCCCCAGGGTAGAGATGGGGAACCGGAGCAACAAGAGGCGAAGCCAGTCTCAGCAGGAGCCTAGGGCGGATCAGGGACTTGGACCCTGGTCTCTCAAGACTGAGGCTGGTACCCTAACCACTGGGACAGCTTTTCTCCCTAGAGCAGGGACGCCTTTGCAGCTGTTTGTAGGGAGGGGAAGGCCAAGGGAGCACCTCCCCGGGAGGAGCGGTGTGGATCAATGGAGTCTCACCAGCCCCAGGAAGTGCCGTGGAGAATCAGCTAAGGTGATCACTAAGCCTGAGGGCTGCTCTAACTACACCAGGCCCGGGCAGGCCCCTTCTTGGTCCTAGAATACAGGGTGTACAAAGATGGCCTGATATCACCTTTAACCCCCACCCCAAGCATAGGAGCCGAGTAACTAAGAATCAGGCCCTAGTGGTGAAACTCACCCCCATGTAGGTCACCAGTGAATCTGGCCCATTCTTTGCAAAACACGACGGCTGATGTCTAGTGCTCAGCCAAATGCCACCAACCCTTACACAATAACTCGTTGGCTCCCCCACCTATAAAGCCAAAGGGGAGAGAATTAGCAAAGCAAGACTCCAGCCGTGGCACACCGCACGGTGCATTGACACACGCTCCCGGTGAGTACGTGCAGCGCTACACGGGGGGCCAGGTTAGCACGTTCACGAGCGATATACGAACGGCAGCGGCTTCCCACCAACATAACATGCGTCAGGCCAGCACATCCCTTAGCCCTGACTCACACTGACACTACCAGGATGGCACCAGCCTGGTTGCAACGGGCTCTAAGGAAAGAATAGGGCAGTAAGTCTTAGAACTAGGCATCCCCTCTGATTAGCAATCTCAAGCCTTACAAGACAAAGTGGTGTTGCGGGCAAGGGACTAGCCTGAGACTCAGGAGGGCCGGGTTCAATTTCTGGCTTGACCACAGATTTTTTCTGTGCCCTTGGCCACTTAACTTCTCTGGGCCTCTCCCCCTTGTAAATGGGGGATGATGCTTTTCTGCCCTTCATCTTGTCTGCTTTTAGACTGTAAGCTCTTTAGAGCAGACAGCACTGCCTCTGAGGCTATGGCTACACTACAAGGCTTTGAACACAGAAGAGCGCTCTCCTGCCAACAAAAAACTTCCGCCCTCCACGAGCAGCCGCGGCTCTGTCGGCAGGAGAGCGCTCCTGCTGAAATAGCACGGTTCACACCGGCGCTTTTCCATCAGTAAAACTTTTGTCATTTGGGGGGCGGGGGATGTGGGGGGTTGGGGGGGGGGGTTTGTTTGTTTTTTTAACACCCCTGAACAACCAAAATTTTGCCGACGAAGTGCCAGCGTAGACAAAGCCTTAGTCTGAGCAGCACCCGGCAGGATAGGGCCCTGGCTCTTTGGTGGAGCCGGTAGGGACACCCATAATCCAAACCATCGAGCTCTGCTCCCTATCTACTGGGTTTACTGAGCTCTGCAAACTGTGGTCCGTAAAGAAGGCCCCGTTGCTGGCTGCAGCCAGTGTATAAATTTAGTGGGTACGAAGAGTCACGTTGGTTTATCTAGAGTCTGTTTCTAAAAGTTTACAGTGTGGAGCACCAGCGAGGAATATAAAACCTGAGAGTTCAGCGGCAGCTTCTGGAGGCTGGCGGGTTTGGTTTGGAACCAGCTACCCTAGTGGCCTGTTAAGTAAGTGCTGCATTGTTCTGCAATTCAGCCGCCTGCAGTGCAAAAGGAGACATAGTCAGAACACTCATCTTCCTTTTCAGATGGACAAGTCTTTATTTTACATATACAAAAGCTTGAGATCCTTCCGAAACACGTCAAACCCTAAAGATTTCTCCTACTCCTGCTGACGAGATGAAGCCCTCAGGCTATCGTTATTTATAAGTGTCTGTCTTTTTCAAGTGGATTTGAAATAAAAGCAGCCAGTGGCAGCCCCCCATACTACGGACATCCCTCAAAGAAGCATGACAATGCAATGCTCCGTTCTCAGACTTCACTTCGCTGGTGGAATGATACAGCCTCTGGCTTTAAGTGTTCTGGGGACTGCAGGAGAGGACGACCCACATGATTCTGGGGCTTCAGAGCAGTAGGGACCCAGGAGAGCTAAACGGCTGGAGATTTCTAGTTAAAAGGCCATGATAAACGAGCCCTGCAAAGTGCGGTTACACCACGGTAGTCACTGGAAATAAAGCAGGATCTGTACTCAGTGCTGGCATACCACGTTTCCAAGCTAGAGCGCTGCTGGCTTTTCACCCACACCAAGTTTTGGCCCTGAAGAACCAGCATAGCTATGGGACCATGCGCTGGAATCAACAGGGTCATGCAGAATTAGCTGCAATCCAACTGCAGAATCTCCAGGTCCGGGGAGGATAGGAAGAATCCAGGTGATTGTCATATCCCCGCAAGAGCGGGCAGCACCACCCCATTGTCTCTGGCTTGCAAAACAGGCCAGGCTGGATCTGGTGCTCCAGGGTGATGAAACGTGGGAGCCCTTGGGCGTTATTTTTACAGTCACATTCCCGAGTCTAACCGCACTTCAAAAGGAAACACAAAGGAAGTCCCTTCTCACCCTAGAGTTACGGCCATCATCAGGGGCTCAACAAAATAGACGAATAAGTGTTATTTTTCATTAAAAAACCCTTTATATTCAGTTCATGTTGGTTTAAATCACAAGAATTTAGGTGGGGGGGGGGGACAAAAAAACCCCAAGGAGACAAATACAAACATACAGCACAGAGCCTCCCCAGAAGTTCTTTCCTTTCACAGGAGCAGGAGGGGCAGGGGAACAAGACCTATGCATCATCTACGGTGCGACTTAGTGAAGTAACTCTGAAACATGGGGGCAAGGCAGAGCCGGTCTCCTTCACTGCCTTCAGTGCAGAGACCCTGCGAGTGTTCTCCTCCGCGCGAGATCCACGGCCTCAGCTGTCCTCCTCCTCGTCCACGGATTCCGACTCCAGGCGGACCCTCTCCCTGTCCATACTGGGCCTTTTGATCTCGGGATAGTCTTGCGCACTGCCAGGGAGAGCACAGGAAAGTCACCGAGTAGCCTCAGTTCCCAGCTGGGAAGCGACTCTCACTCACGGGGGGGGCAAAGCAGGGAGGCAGGTGCCTGGGGCTACTGTATCCTCCTTCCCTCCTCATTAATACCCCTCAAAGTATCCCTTCCCTGCCCAGCCACACGCCTCTAGCCATCCACTCTCCCCGCTACACACCCTTCTATCCCTCCCTCCCTTCCCAACCATCCACACTCCTCTCCACCCTCCCCATGGTATCCAAGCAACACCCCCCTCAGCCCCCAACAGTACAGTTATGGGACATCCCAGTGAGTATACTGCCCCTCCTCTCCATAACACAGATTTTCCTAGCCCCAGGCATGGCGCCGCCAGCCCATGGACCCGAGAAGAGAGCAATCGCCCCCAGGCAGGTGCCTCTCTGCTAACATGCACTTGCCCACAAGGATGGCTGGAGGATGTCGTGCCACACGGGTTGGCAGGGTTTACACTCAGTGGCTGGGGGAAGTTCCACTGTTTGGGGCTGAGGGTCTGCAGAAACACCTGATCACATACAGAGGGGGAACAACCCTGCAGAAGCCTAGAACTAAGGCTTGGGATTTCCCATCTCACTCCTTCGGTGCTAGGAAACCCAGCGACTTTGGCCTTGACACTCTTTGTAAAAGGTTTCTGCTCTGGAGGACCACGCAGCAACGCATCACCGGGTCCCGCAGCCTCCTTGGCCCCAGGGGTCCTGTGGATCTGTGGCCTCCCACCCCTCAGCAGGTATGAGATGAACCAGGAAGGGCCCTGGTCCCCTGCCACCGAGTCTCCCCAGGCCAGAAGCGGGTGCTCACTCATGTGTGTCTTCCGGGGATGCCTCTTGCTCTCCGTCACCAGATCCCTGGGCTTTGTCTCGCTCCTTATCCTCCATACTCTCCCCTTTCTGGGACATGGATTCGCCGTTTACGGGGGCTGACAGATCTACAGTGGGAACAAAGCGGGAGGAGAGGACAGTAGGAGATGGGCGCACACATTCGTAGGCTTGGCTCCCTGTTGGAAGCAACGGCAACTGTTGCTTTCTCTTTCCCGCTCTCTTTGGTACTTACCTGGCCCCCGTCAGGGGAGGATCTGAGCGCCTTGCAGTCTTTAATGTATTTAGGGAGCTGTGAGGCAGGGAAGAGCTATTATCCCACTGTATGGAGGGAGAAGGGGCTAAATGACTTGCTCAAGGTCACAGGGGAAGTCTGAGGCAGAGCAAAGAATTGAGTCGCAGGCTGCTAATCTAATCATTAGGCCATCCTGCCTCCTGAGTGTCTCTCTCTCTCCCTCGTGATCTAGTCAAGATGACAGCTCCACAGCCCTGGAAACTAAAATTCTCCATTTGTCCGCAGCACAGCAGCAGCAGGGAAAAGCTCAGCGCCATCCCACCAGCGCTCTGGATACAGCACCGCTAAGAGGGGAAGAGATCGGTCCGGCTCTGGGACTTGTTCAGTCCTTACCGTCTGCTGAGCCCGCTGCCCCAGTTACGGGGGTGGATTCTGGAACATGGCCAAGGGCCACCACAATGGGGCACCCACAGCCACCAGATGATAATTGGATTGTCAGCTCTTCAGGGCAGGAAATTGCTTGCTTTGTGCTTATACAGCGAGCAGCCCAATGGGTCCCTGGTCTCAGATGGGGTCTCTATAGGCACCAACAGATTTTGGTCGCTATCCACCTGGGGAAGATTTGAAGCGGCCACCTAAAGGTGAAGCTACCCCCATTTGCTCCCCACTGGTTTGAATCTTGCATTTAATTTGTGCATTAGGCATGAGTCGGGGGCCACTGGGCTCTGACGGCCGGGCTGTAATTAGCCAGAAGGGCACTTCCCTTAGGTTTACATGCAGCTCTTGGAGGTAGACTATGCTCCGCACAGCCCTGAACCAAACGGTGGCACCATGGGTGTCTGGGATGTACCCTGTAGCAGTGGGAAACTGGAGGCAAAAAATTAACATGCCCCTTCTTCCGGCAGGTCTCTTGCAAATACCTGCATCGCTACAGCTGCTAGGACAAGCGTCTCCAGCATTTCCATGCTGTGTCGAGCTTCATCAGACAGTGACCCTCCAGGAGCCTGCCTGTCTCCCAGCTCCCACCCCAATGAGCCCAGTCTGGAGAGCCATGAGGGAGGATCTTGCTGCCCTCTGTGCCCTCCCAGGAGAACCGCTGCACTAGGAAATCCCTTGTAAGACATGGGTAGACAGTGACCCCACTTCACCAGTCTCTCCCGGGGGAGGCGGGATGAGTCACTGGAGCATCTTTTGCTTTCAGTCTGTGTGTTTGACTCAGAGCAGTCATCACTAAAGAAGAGCCCCAGCCCTCACCGCAGGGCACCCCAGGTCTGCTGTGTGCCCAGGCAGCTTGGGACCCTCCCAGCACACTGAATGATAGTTACCGGCATTCGTCTCCTCCTCTCCTTTCTCGTTCTGGGCCTCCCCTCCCGGCAGCTTCTCCTGGCCTTTCTCCACGTCTCCCTTGTCTTTCTCCATCCCAGTTTTGTTGGCTTTCTGGTTCACCTCGATCTTTGGCCCCAGGACGCGCGACTTCAGGCGGGTGTAAACCTCGGCAGCCTTCTCCATCACGTCCTTGTTAGCTTTGTAGCGACGGATCTGTCACATACACACCGTGAGGCAGCGCTGGCCACAGACTGGCCCCCTGCCCCAGAGAAAGGTGCTCTCATCCCCACACACGCCTCCCTTAGCCCACCCCCGTCGTACCTTTTTCAGCGTAGCCACCACATCAGTGTGTTTCTGGAGGATGTGAGAGGTGACCTGCAGGGTTCCCAGCTCTTCCAGCGCACTCAGACACCTCTTGATATCCTGCAGGTGGAGAGAGGAGATCAGAGATTTATCTCCACCAGGCAGAGGAGGTGGCAGGGACTCAAGGAGTGCTCTGTGAAGGTACTTAGTGGATTATTCCATCCCCTCTCAGGCTTCATGCAGCAGGGCAACCCCAGGATCTCTCCTTCTCCTCAGGAGGCTGGGGAGCAGAGACACTGATAAAGAGGCTGAAGAACCTCTTAGACTTAGATCCAAAGTCTACGGCACTTGCCACACAGATTCATCTTTGTCCCTCTCCCGAGGCCCTGATCTTTCTCCTAAACGAGGCAACCTAGCCTCACCAGGAGCTGATGCCCGCGAGGCAACCCATCCCCACCTTCAGCTGTGCCGCTACTGCCTCCCAGCCCAAAATCCGGCATGGATCCACATCAGGTAGGCACTGTAGCGAAGCTGCCGATCAGCAGAGAGCATAGCTGTTCAGCAGCTGGGACACTGGCAGCGAAGCGGGAATTCTCAGAGACAGGTAAGGAGAGCCCAGGGAGAAATAAAAATCACCTTTGGCACCACCTCGTGGCAAACCTGAGTATTGCTCCTTTAAAACTGCGGAATCAAATGTATCACATAGGACTGTAGGAGTTCGACATGGAAGAGACCAATCTGATCAATGAGTCCATCCCCAGGCAGCAGAGATCTCAGACAATAATAGGACACTACGGTTAATATGCAGCATGAAGAACGTGCTAACAGATCTTGGAGCTGGCTCAGATGGAGGTTATAAGGAGGAAGAGGCGGACCAGGGAACCCCCCACAGATGTCAACATTTAAGGCTGGGCACCCCCAAATAGCATGAAAGCCAGAGAGTACACCACAAAGCTAAGAGTGGAAGCAGATCCTGGAGGCCTCAAGTCTACAAGATCATTCAGCAATCCACTGACTATTAAAAGCTGACAAATGCCCAAAGACAACAGGGTCTGGTCCTCACATCGTCCGTGGTCACAGATGCTTGTGCAGTGGGCGTACAGTGCTCCAACAGGAACGGAGGGTTCTAATCAGGAAAAGTTTGACACTCGCTTTGCACAGGCGTCAGTGACACAAGGAGCAGGGTGGAACAGACCCCAGTTGCTGATAGTCCAGGGACACCCAAGCAGGAGGGAGCACTCTCAGATGAAGGACTAGACCTTGATCCCCACCCCAGCCCCCTCCACCCACCGGTACTCACCGGATTATCAACTTTCAGGGCAAACTTGATCTCGCTGTGAAGTTTCTGAAGTTTCTCTTCAATTGTGGGCTCTAAGATCATGTAAAATAAAGAGGCCAAGGCATTAGCCCCCTCTTGGTTGGTTTTAAATTAGACTGCTGGACTCCAGCAGGACAGTGAGTGTTTGAAAGCACAGAGAACGTGCACTGCGCATCCAGGGCCTTCAGCTTGATTCGATATGACCCCTGGCCTCCTGGGAATAGGCAATATGCATAGAGTCTTCCCAGAAGCCGGAAGGATCGGGAATGGGCTAACATCAGAACCATCGTTGCTTGGTTATCCTGAGCTGGACACGTTGCTTGAACCCCTTTGTTCACCTTCCAAAGAAACCTCCTACAGCCAGCAAGGAGGGCCCCCAACAGCTCTGCACTGAAGAGCCAAATCAGAGTAACACACTGGACCTCTTTTGGGGAGACACTTTCCACACCCCATGCCCTAGGGTCAGGATAACTGAGCAAGAGAGTCCCACCCCGCTCCCCAGAAGTAACCTGCTCTCTCACCCTTCTTCTTCTCCATCCTCCTCTCTGGGATCACGTCAGACTTTCTCCGGCCTCGTTCCACTCTTAAGGATCTGCAGCGGGTTAAGGAAACAAGAGTAAGAAGCTGCTCATCAGCACCTCTGCAAGTTAGAAATACCCCAGTTAGGAGTCGCACCCACTGCCCTGGCTTACAGGGGAGGACGACAGTCTTACACTTCTCACTGGGGAGGGCAGGGGGACGCCCTGCCTTCCTGGCAGAGTTTTACCCACCAGGTTTACATGGCAGCACACATGGCCCTGGCACCTCCTGCTGTAGGGCTTGGTGTACTCCGGGTGCATTAAATAAGGGGAAGGGCTGCACCAGCTCTCTGGGCAGAAAGAACGCTGCTGCTGAGCACTTCCACCATGCTTGCAGCCTTGGATCTCAAAGCACATCACCGAGGCGGGCGAGAGCCATTGTCCTCATTTGACAAACAGGAAACCCGAGGCACAGGAGGGACTAAGGCCTACATTCTCAGACGTGTCCTGAGTGCCCTTGGCTCCTGTGGAAGTCAGTGGGAGCTGGGGGTACGCCGAACCCCTGAAGAATCGGGCTCCAGGGATCGAAAGCCTACAGGCCACTTCTGCTGTGTCCCAAAGTGATTTGCCCAAGTCACACAGCAGGTGAGTGGCAGAGGCAGGGGTAGAACCCAGGGTCTTGACTCCCACTCCCATGCTGGACCAGAGTCATTCCTATTTCAGGCCTGGAAATCACAGGCCCCCCCTCTCCCGGGGAACAGGCTCCTAAGGGCTCTATCAGCGGTTCTTGACTCCTTGCAGCTCCCTCTTCCTGGGAGTGGAGAAGAAAGCAGTCCCAGTAATGACAGCAGGCGCCAAGAGATGTTCCCTTGCTTAGAGAGGCCTGTGACCCTGTCACTCCCCTACGTGGTACCGGCCCTGCAGGCTGCTTGCACCATCCAGCTGAGGCGGGCTCGGTTAAAGGCACATGACATTGGAGAGGGATCAGAGGTGCCTTAAGCTCCAGCAGCACTCCCTTCCCTTCTTAACGCCGTCAGAAACCCGGAATGGGAGAAGAACCTCGCCACCTCCCTGGAAAGCTGCCCAGAATCCCAGCACAGCTCTGCCATGGGCTCCAGGAGGGGAACATTCCCCCCGCCCACCAAGGGGGGTTGTCTGCCAGGAGGCACAAGAAGAGCTTCCCCCTTTCCCCCACGCCCCCTGACCCCCCAGCAACTATGCCTCCAGGGGGAAAGGGCCAGGAGGAATTGAGAGCGTGGCAGAAAGATGCTGACTTGTTGCGAGGTTTCTCCTCCGATCGGCCCCTCTTCTCCTTTAGATTTGGTTTCCTTGACAACTCAGAGGGCTGCTGCTTCTTCAGCGGCTTCTTTACCTTCAACAAGAGAACAATGCAGACGCTGAGAGCTATGGCAGGCCCCTCCTCGCCGCAGGAGGGGAGAGGATGGTGATGTCCTATTCCAGCCCCCCTGGCGCGCGTTATCTGTGTCGTGGGGATGCCAAGAGCTAGAGCCCATTGGCATGTGCAGTGCCTAGCACAATTACATGGAAGTTTCTGCCCCAAAGAGCTGACAACTGAATTAGATTGGCTTCGGGTCTCCCAGCCTGCCGCGGCACCCCTAGAACTGGGCTCTGACCTATCAGAACGCTGTCCCCCTGCCAAGAATACGGCCATGTGCTGCTCTGATACCCAGAGGGATGGTTTCAATCATAGTATTTATACAGGCTCCATTGGCATGGCATCCAGGCACTGCCCTTTGCACATGTATACTGTAGTGCCTTTTACCCAAGGATCACAAAGCTCTTTGCTAATATTAGACATCACAGTTCCCCGAGACACACATTTTCCAGCTGGAGAAACTGAGGCACAGAGATGTGATGCGACTTTCCCCAAGACTACTCAGTAAGTCAGTGGCAGAGCTGGGAACCACAAAGTCCCCAGTTCCAGCTGTGAGACAACACTGCTTTTACGGCTTCTCTCTCTGGCAGTGGAGATGGAGTGGAGAGAAGAAAGGAGATTTGCTCATTTCAGACTCTCCTATCCCCCTGGACAGCTCAGAAAACTGGCTTAGGGAGATGGGTTATGGAGATTTCCACCTTGAGCTCAGCAGTTCACATCTAGGCTGGGGCAGCAGTGACCAGAAGTTTAGTGACCCATAGAGCAGCTGTCTAGTGTGAAATGAGTTTGATAGGTCTCTGTCCCCTCCCAGCAACCAAAGGTCCATGTCACATACACCCCCTCACCACTACAACAGCACTAACTAGCCTCAGTGCAGAGACCAAGGACTGAATGGGCTGTGCAGACTGTGATTCCCCTTTTTACCCCAAGGTTGGAGACGAGGCACTCTGGTGGGGTGGAGGGGCAACGTAGGCACTGCTGGCCATGGCCAAGGGCCAGCACTCCAGTCTCCCGGGCCATCAAACTGGTACCAGAGGAGGTCACTGCTGTCTTAAGGGAAGAGGCCTCTCTCCGGGACCTTGCCTGGCTCTTTAACTGAAGTCATAGACACAAGAGCATCCACCCTAGGCTGGCATGAAATGCCATGGCCAAGTCAATGGCAGCTTACGGCAGCTCTCCTGCCCTCACGAGCCAAGCGGGCAGAATTCTTGCAGAAATTCCAGTTGCGTGCCATTGTAACTGCTGCTACAAAGCCCTGCTCCATTTTCTGCCACGCCTGCACCCTGCGCGGGCTATACTCAGGAACTGCTCTGGCTGGTCCAAATACAGCAAAGGAACCACACTTAGAGAGTTTTCCCAATCCAGATTCCTGAAGCCCTCCACAAACTGATGCACAGAGATCACTTCGACCAACAAAGTGCAGCCAGCTCTGGGGTGGAACGTGAAAGCTGTTACACAGCTTCCAGCAATCCTGTCCAAGCCTGTTGTGTAGCAAGTGAAGAAGTATCCAGCACCCAGTTGAAACTCCCAACAAAGCTTAGTGAGGCAGAATATATGTGCCTTCTTTAGAATGAAGCCAGGATTCAGAGCTGACCTAACGGCTTCACCCGCCAAAGGGTGCCATGGGATCCTCAGTGACAGCAAGCAGCTAGAGCCTGGTTCAACATCTCACCTACGAGCCTCTGCGGAAGAGTTCGTTAACAAAACTAAATCAAGGTGGCTCCGTCCCGCCCACCTCTCGTGACTCTGGCAGTTTATTCCCTGGCTAAGCTGCTCATCCAAGCAAGCCATGCTGACTGGAGCTGCCATGACAGCCCTCAGCTACCCTGGGCAAGGCATCAGCGGGACAGGTTCCTTCTGGGTCTGGCCTGAGAGTTTCATGAGCAGTGCAGGAGTGATTTCACATGGGCCGCAGCAGGGTGAGCTTCCCTGACCCTGACCCTTCCCAACGCCCCGCGATCTGGGAGAGAACGATCTCAGGGGGTGAGAGGGGCACGCCGCCTCCTCGGCCTCTCTGAGGCTAGCAAAGATTTAGTGCCAATCACAAGAAGGGTTCAGCGATGCCCCCAAACTCACTTCCCATGCGATCACTGGCTGCGAATGGGCGATCTGGAGGCCCGGGTCCCTCCGGTCCCACGTGCTCACCTCTTTCTCCAGCTCCAAGTCAGAGTCCGATGACAACTGGTCCTTGCCTCGGTTCTTCTTGCCTTTCCTGGCCACCTCGTCATCCATGCTGCTGTCACTGTCTGAGTGCGCCTCCTCCCCCTTCTCCGCCTTCTCCTTCTTCTTTTCCTTCTCCTCTTTCTCCTGCTCCCGGAGCCTGCGGATCTCTTCCTCCTGTTCCCTCTTCCTCTTCTCCTCCAGCTCCCGGCGGCGCTCCTCGTCACGCCTCTTCCATTCGCTGATGCGGTCCACGTCGCTGTCGCTGTCACTGTAGGGGACAGAGTGGGATGGATCATGGGGACCAGAAAAGCCTCTGCAGAGACGGGGCTCGTGCACCCTCCACCCCTACTCCAGCCCTGCTTCCACAGAGTCCTGTAGGTGCCCCAGAGCTTTGTGCCTCCCATACACTTGGGAGAAGCACCAGCCTTGCTCCCTGGTACACCAACTTTTTGCAACATAAGATTTTCAGTGGACCATGGGGCATGGGCCACTGGACATGCCCTTGCCCTGCAGAGGCCTGAGACCACCAAGCAGCTGCACACAGTTACCATCACTCACGGCCCTCACCCGCTCCCAGGACGTGCCCCTTTTCTGAATGAAAGGAGAGCTGGCAAGAGAGGCCAGCCTGACAGCCCTGGAGACTGAAGGCCTCTAGTTACCCCCAGTGGTGCATGCTTCCCGCTCAGCGCCCAGCCAGTGCCTGAGCCCTGATCTGGAGGGATCTCTGCATTAGGAGTTCAGTCTCCAGGGCCTATGCAATCCCTGGTCCCTCTACCCAGGTTGCTGACGGGAGCCCAATTAGCGCCAGCTGCAGGGGTGGGATTCCTGTCCCGCAGAACGGTGAGCCAGCCGAGATCACCAATTGCAGCCCAAACCGAGGCTGGAAGTGTGATGTATGGGTCAAATCCCTCTGGACCCTGCGTTCTCCTCCCTACGCTCCACACGGGGCCCTTCTGAATAACTAAGCCTGTCAGTTCCAGCCCCTTCACTTCCCCCTTGACGATAGACCAGGTCTACACTGGAAGCGTTGGCTGGTTTGCAATGTCAAGTAGGAGTGTGATTTCTTAAAGCCCTGGTGTAGATGCACTTAGACCAGCTTCTGCCAGGATAGCTTATTTTGCTTGGGGAACCAGTACAAGCTACACCAGCAAAAGCTCCTCTTTGCCATATACACTGAGTCTGCACTAAGAGACTTTGCCAATGTAGCGATGCTCCTACGGCTACCCTGGGAAACCTTTTCTAGTACAGACTAGCCCATAGTCAGAAGGGCTGCACAGAGTGGCGAATGTCTGGCAGTGATTGTCACGCGACTCGCATGAGACATTCCCTCTGGTGGCAACCAAGGCTACTGCCCCTCCTTGCTAGCTATCTAGGCACTGACATGGCCCCCGTTATTATTAAACATTTAAATCATGGCAGCGCCTCAAGGCCCCGGCGTGCAGGGTGCTGGACAAATGTTTTGTACTTGACAGTCCCTGCACTAAAGAGCTCAGGCGAGAGCTCTCCCTCTCCGTGGTGCCCGAGCGCCTCCCATTTATTCATGCATTTGTCCTTGGAACACCCCTGGGACTGAGTTTTGTAATTTTATCCCCATTTTCACAGATGGGGAAACTGAGCCAGAGAGAGACCAGACGACTAGGAAGTTGGTGGCAGAGTCAAGAATCATACTCACTAGCCAAACTCTGCTCATCGAGTCGGGACTCCCCTGTGCCAACACGAAAGATCCCCCACCCCAGCCGACAACAGACTGGACACCAGTGTGATGCCTTGGCTAGCATCTTTGAGAAGCTAATCCCACGCAGAGCCTGGGGCCAGCAAACTCAAGCCGCAGGCCGCACCCCTCTGCTGCTGGGCCAAAGGAGATTAAAACATCTGAATACCAGAGCAGGCATCCCAGCCAGGCCCCGGTGCCCCTCACCAGGGCCTCGGCTCTCACCTGTCGCTGCTGGAGCTGGTCGGAGCTCTCTCAGGCTTTGGTTTCCTGCCACGAGGCTTTGGGGGTGGCTTCTCAGCTACAAGACACAAGGGATCAGGGGGTCAGCACAGCAGGACTCAGTCTCCTCCCAACCCCCTCCAACAGCCATATGCAGCGTGCGTGAAGGAAGGGTAACCAAGTCCAGGGGGCAGGAGGGCCTGGTTTCAGTCCATCTATTGAGGCATGGATTAATGAAGGCTCCTACACAAAGGTGGGTTGCTGAGGCCACCCAGCCCAGCTCCCTTCCAGAACTGCCTGGGAAGAGCTGGAAGAAGCCTGGATAGCTCCCCTTCAGCCCTACCTGGCTTCCTGCCCCGCGGAACCTTCTTCACAGACACGTCCGAGTCGGAGTCCGAGTCGGAGTCCGACTTAGTCACGTCCACAGTCTCGTTTTCCTCTTCCGAATCCACTTTGGAGTCCGAGTCGGACCCTGAATCCACCTTCTGTGAGCAAAGGAGAGAGCGTTGAGGGGGATCTGTGCGTGGGTCCGAGAGGAGGGGAGCGGTACCGCCTTCCCATGGGAACCATACGTGGGATGAAAGGGGAAATCTACCTCCAACTCCCATAGGTAATGAATCAGTGTCTAAGGGAAGCTAGCAGGAGGATTCCCTGGCAAATCCTCACACGCACAGTTCTGTTATCAGCACACACCATGTAGTGAAATGGTCGGTTTAGTACCGAGGCCTTTGTTATGCAGGAGGTCAGACTAGATGATCACAAGGCCAGAAGACACCACTAAAATCTATGCTCACCCAACTCATCAAATCCACATGCAGGAAGCCTGTTATTCCTGCTCACCCCTCCTAATCCTCCTGCCTCATCTCCCTGCTTCATTCCTACTGTGGGCAACGTGGAATCAGAAATTTAGTCTCTTCTATTCCTCCCAGCTGCCCTGTGTGTTTGTATTTCCTTTCCACCTCCGGCCAGGTAGAAGGGGTCTGTTTGACTGGCTAGCCACAATCTGTGCTGGATGCCGACTGGCAAAGCCAAGCTCTCGGTGCCAAGGGGCTAACCAGCTGCAGCAGCGCAGGGAGAATGGCCTACCAATGGGGCAGGGCTGCTCACTTCAAGGGCCCCTTACCTTTTTCTTCCTTCCGCCTGCAGACACCCTCCTGGGAGCTCTGGCCACTGGCTTCTTCTCTGGAGTAAAGTCCTGGGAAGGGATGGACATATTCGAATTAGGAAAGGCCTCACTTTGGCTGCGGGAGCTTCACCCCACTACTCTCAGCAGTAACCCCCATGCCCAGACCCTGACAGCGAGAAGTGAGGGCACCTTCCGGATATACCCTAGGGTGGCATCAGGGGGGTAAAGAATGGCCCCAGGTCAGCCCATCCAACTCAAACGCCTTCCCCTCTTCATTATCCAACAGCCCTTGACTTTGATCTCCGCAGACCACAGGTGCTGCCCCAAAGCACAGGGACTTGTCAACCCAAGAACAAACAAGCTGTCCAGTCTTAATTGGGACAAGGAACAGATATTTATAATGTCCTGGCAAAGATGCGTTGGGCACCTTAGAAAGAGCAGAGACCCAGCAAGACATGACTTTTCACAAAGCTGGAGAACAGTGGGAGAAAGAATGGCACACGGGTGCCCAGCCAGTCAGCACCAAGTGGCATGAAGCCAGGCCTTGAAGACTAGGGTGGCGTTCCACACACCATGCCAACCTATGCTGCCTGCTCTCACCACCAGAGATGCCCAAGCCCTGGGCTGGACTCAGCGCTCATGGAAGGAATTAGCGACTGCACTAAGCCAGCAGGGGAGGCAAAGGCATGTGCGTGAATATATGTATATAGCAGACTATTCCAAATTCTATCCCCCGTGCTTCCTGTGGCCCATTGAGCTGGCAAGTGCGGTCCTGCACAGGGCAAGAGAGAGGGCATACGCAGAGTGCACCTCGTCCTATATTCTCTCCAGGATCAATCCCGTTAGTTAATCAGAACCTGCCCACCCCATCCAAATCACGGCAGCACGGGGGACTCTGTAAACCACTTGCTCACCTGGTCACTATTTTTCTCTGACTCAGAAGAACTTTCCGAGTTCTCCTCTTCTGAGGGAGACACACTGCCCTGGTCGAGGTCGCTGGAGGATTTCCGGGGTCGTTTAGCCACTGGCATCTGAAATCAGAGAAACATCAATGTAACAGTTGCTGCAAGCTGGTATATTCCTCACTGCTGCCCTCTCTGCCCACAGGATCAAACAAAACCCAGTGGAGCAGGGCTTTAATCACCCCTCTCCTTACTGTTTTCTATAATAAACTCAGAACAACAGCCAGCATGCAGCCTACAGGTACACAGAACCCATGCCTGATCCCATGCACCATCTATACACTGTGATAGGGTCTTCTGATTGATACCCGTGTATGTATGTGTAAACAGAGCCAGTTATGTCAGTTGGTGGGTTAATCCTGGTGTCTTGGCTACCTTTGAACTTGGGATTCTCTCTGATTTCCCTCTAGAATATCAACAGGAGAACCTGTTTTCACGTTCATCCTAAAAACACCCTGCTGTGCCATGTGGCTGCCCCAAGATAAATGCAGCTACCTCTGGAGTGGATCGCAGCAGCTAAGTGGTGGGTGATGCGACCGCCCTATGTTCAATTTCTAAAGTGCTTCGTGGGCCAAGTGTAAATCCATTATATAAATGTAATCATCTTTCTATTCCTAGCCAGGCGATACCCCACACAGATCGCAATGGGGCAAACTTACTTTCATAGCTAGCGCTTTTCGTTTCAGCCCACTGTGGTCGCTCCCCTTGTCGGACTCCTCATCGCTGTCTAGCTTCTCCATGGCCGCTGCAGCAACAGCAGCAACTGCCATGGCAGCCGATTCTTCTTCCTCCTCTCCTCCATCGCTTCCTGCCACTGGGTCGTTCTCGGGAACCTCGCTGTCTGAGGAGCTCGCTGGCTGAAAGAGCAAAGAAATGGAAACGTCAGGGGTTACTGATCAATAGCGGGTCTCCCGATCCATGTCAGCACAGCAAGGAAGCAGGGAATAAGAGAGCTAAGCACGATGGAGAGGAGGATTGAGCTGAGACATTGCCACATGACCAGCTGCCGTCAGAGTGCTGTGATAACTCCCCCGCTGACAGCAAGCTAGACAGCGATGATATCCATGATAAGGGACAGTGTCATGTTGACCTTTCAATGAAACTGCTTCTACAGCAGCTGCTCTCCTGCTTTCCAGACTACTGTACCCCTTTCAGGAGTCTGATGTGTCTTGCGTACCCTCAAATTTCACCTCACTTCAAAATGACTTGCTGACAAAATAAGATACAAAAATACAGAAGCGTCACTGCCACTATTACTGAAAAATGGCTGACTTACATTTCGGTGGATAGTATACAGAGCAATATGAACAAATCGTTGTCTGTGAAAGTTTAGTTTGTACTGATTTCGCTAGTGCTTTTTATGTAGCCTGTTGTAAAACTAGGCAAATCTCAAGATGAGTTGATGGACCCCTAGAAGACCTCGGAGCACCCCCAACATACACGTACCCCTGGTTGAGAACCACTGTTCCACAACTCCTCCAAGCTCCCCTCAGCCAAACGCCCTAAAATCCCCTCCATAACCCTGTTCTACGGCAATCCCATCTAGATCATTTATGAACAAAAACAACTCCCCAAGGGACCCCCTTCCACCTCTGGGGTCAACTAGTGCTGCAGTCTGCCCTCATGATCCCACCTTCACCGTGCTGTGCTGAAGGTGCTGCTATCATATGGCCCCTCTGACAAGCCCACTTGACTCTTCCTCACTGGTAAGCCAAACTCCAGGCTTCCTTTTCTCCACAGGGTACTGGAGAAGGTGACTTGCTCTCACCACCTTGAAAGTAACATTCTCGACCAGTTTCACTCTGGCTTTCAATCCCTTCACAAGTGAGCGACTCCTCTTAGGGGGGCTGATGAGCCTTTGATCGCAGATCCCTCTTCCCAAGCTACCTTATCCAAGGGCAGCTGCAGATACTTTCCCATCTGAAAGTTTCACATGAGGGGTTGGATTTCACCAGCACTCTGCTCTCCTAGTTTGAATCCCACCTCTCGGACTGTCCCTTTAACCATCCGCAATGAAGACTTCACAACTTCCTGTCATTCCATTATTATGCAGTACCTCAAAAGATCCCACCTAGGGGTCTCATGCCTCACTTCAAGCATGCACATCACATCTATGGTAACGATGACCAAGCTCTCCATTTTCCTTGACTCAATTTCCCATTTCTGTCATGACTGCCACTTCCAGTTTCCTACTACTGGAATTCTTCCCTCTGGGTAAGAAGCCCTCTTTGTCCTATGTCCTTGATGCTCCCAGCATTCTCCTTAACTTTTCTCCCAAGACCAAAAACCTTGAAGTCACTCTTGACTCCAAATTTTTCTTTCCGCCTTTACAATGCCAAAGTTCATCTTTTCCTCGAGCCCATCTCTGCGGAAATCCTTACTTCTGCCTTAATCAATTGCTGCCTTGACTACTGCAGGTCTCTCTTTAATGGCTTCTTAAAACCCTGTTCTGGGAACTTCAGGAAGATCCAGAACAGCCTCTAGCTCCAGACACCAGGACTTTATCCCACCAGCTTCTCTTACATTCAACGATTTCCCACTCATCTCCGTAGCCAATGTCAAGTTGCTCTCAAAACTCTCTACAGAATCATCTCACCCTATATCTATGCCCTTGTATCCAGCCATCTCTTCTGCCTGTTCACTGCAATCTATAGCCTCTCTCTCGAACTCTGCCGCAGTTTGGGTATTTGGGGTACCCTTTCGGTCTGAAACTGTCTTCCTCTGAGCCATCTCCTCTTTATCTCACCTTAAAGCCTTACTTTGTCTCTTCAGACCAGTATATATGAAGCAGCTCTGGATACCTTTAGGAAGATCACTATGTAATAAATTGTATCATTCAATTATGGTTACATATAGCGTCCCTCATACACTGAAACACTGGACTGTAAACAGCTTTCTCGGAGTCTGATCCAAAGCTCATAGAAGTCAATGGGAACCATGCTAGTGACTTCTGTGGCGTTTGGTTCAGGTGCTCTGATGTCAATGACGAGACTGACATCATCTGACAGCCTGAGCACACGAATGGGAGCCAGGAACTCTGCAGTTCTAATTCTTGCTCTGACACAGATTTCCCCTGTGGTTTTGGACAAGTCAATTTTACGGATGCCTAACTGGAGGCACAGAGTTGAGCAAGTGTGAGGAGGGTTAGTTATTTTGCTCCCAAGAAAGGAGATTTTTGACATGGAAGCTTTCCAATACCACAGTGACAGGCAGCAGGAAAAGGAGGAAAGGCTATTTGAAGGCACAAAGCACAGAGGTGCGCAGAGCCCCTAGTCACGGCTGATCACAAATGAGTGATGCTCACACACTCACCGGAGGGGCACTGTAACTGGCATGGGGGTTGTTCTGGATTTCCCACAATCCCTCATTGAAGCCTTTTCGCTTGTTTGGCTTCCCGTATTTGTCCTTGTACTTGTCGTAAGGGAACAGGTCCTTAGGTCCCAAGAAGGCTCTGGGGGAGGGTGGGGGGGGAGGGAACAAAGCAGAGGTCAGTCTCAAGTTGCCGGGAAGTAGGCAACGGCAAGGAAATCACGTGGACAGTGGGGCTTACGTCTCGTGTGTCCCAAAGAAGAAGATGGGGTACTTGTTCGGCGGGGTTTCACAGCGCCGTCTGCTATGTCATCAATCTGAAACGAAGCACAAGGCAGGAGGTGGTCAGAGATGGCAGATTTGGGTGCAGCATCAGGAGGCAGCTAACTGATGCAAAGCCGAGGTTGGCTGTTTCACACAAACACTGTAACAACACACTGAGGAAGGGAGCCTTCTGCACACTGAATTCTAAGGTACTTTTTATGGCCAAGCAGGATCCGTAGACAAGTAACAGCAGAGAACCAACTCCAGCTGTGGTGTTGCAAGAGCTCAAGCCTAAGCCTTGGGTTCAATCTCTTTAGGGCTGGGAATGCTGCACAGGTTATAGGTTCTGCATGGGGGGGAGGAGCGGGGGGCATACAAGTGTCTTGCTTGGCTACCAGTAAGAGCACATGGAAGGACTCCCAGAAGAAGTATTTAGAAGGAGGGAGATTGCTCCAGCAGGGGCCCCCGAAACGGTCCTTCCTGGCTAGAGACAGGCTATAGGAAAAGCCCAGGCTGCTGGGAGGCAATCAGGCCTGAGGCGATTGGCCCTTAACGCACCAGAAACCCTGCCTTCCCGCATGTCCCACTGGCTCCAGTCAGTCACTTGCACATGGCATAGCCAAGGGCACAGCTTCTAGGCAGGAGCCCAGGAATGTTATGGGATCTGTGATCACAGAAAAGTGGGAGCGTACATCCAAGTGGGTGACCTCGCACATTGAGGAAGTCTTCACAGGAAAGGGCCCCCCAGGGGAGGGAGAAAGCTAAACCAGAGCAGACTGGGACTCCAGCAACGCGAGCATCCTCCTGATTCTGACCAAGTTCTACTAGAGCCCCATATTATAGCACTAGCTAAGTATAAATAGTGCACAGGCGAATTAGGATAGATATACTAGAGGATCCTGTGGTGCATTGTAGATCATGCATTGTCTTCCCGGCTCCAACATCCACAACCATCCTCAGGTATCCACCACATCCCAATCCCATGCATTTGCAGCCTGTTGCCTCTTGCCACTACGCCCCCTCACACTGTGGTGATCCTACCCTGCCCTCAGCTTCCAATCATCTTTACTTTTCAGGACCACTACCCAAGGCATTCTCATCCAGATGTGTTCCCCACACACGATGACCCTTCCTGATCATCAACACCCAATATACCCCCATCCTCTCCAGGAACCATCACTTAACTCCATCCCCACCAGATGTCATCACCCTCTGTGTCTCATCCATACCCCTTCCAAGCATTGTTGCTACACAGCACTGTCACCCTACAACCTCATCACACTGCAGCTCTTAATACCATCACCTGACACTCAATAACAGACCAGTAACTCCCACCTGCCCATGACAACCCCCACCTCCTGTGATCCAGCACCCCCACTCTGGATGCCGTGTCTCTAGGAACCTCCCTGTTCCTGCTGCAGACCAGAGCCAGTCAATAGGCAGACTGCAGGCCAAATCCAGACCGCCAGATGTTTCTGAACAGACCCCGAAATCTTTTTATTTATTTATCATCATTATTGCTATTTTTTTTAATTATTTTCTCTGGAGTTGGGACCTTGACAAAAATAACTGACTACCATATCCCTTTCCTTCACAACCCCCTGAACCTCACAATCCATCACCTTGCCCCTCTGCACCCATCTCCCCCAACACCCACTCCCGCATCTTTCCTTATACCCCCATCTCCCCTTAACACCCACCCTTGCATCCCATGATGCATTACCCCCTGCACCTCATCTCCCCAGTACCAACCCCTGCACCCCACAATCTATCACCTTGCCCCCTGGCACTCCACCTCCTCAATGACCACACCATAATCTCTTCCTCTCTGGCTCTCCTTCTCTGCACCCCACGACACATTGCCCCGCTACCCCTGAGCCCCATCGCCTCTACCTCCGCGTGCCCTGCTCCCCACAATCCCCACCCCGCACCCCACTCCCCGATGCAGAATAGGCCCAGACCACAGACTGGACTAGGGGTTCCCCGCCAAGGATCTCCCCAGACAGGGATGGGCTGAGCTAAAGGTCTTCCATAGGGAAGGGAAGGGGGTCCCCTGGGGGTGGAGGAGCCCTCAGGAGAGGCACTTAGGGCTCCCCCCCATGGCTGGGGTTAGGGGGGGTCCCGCCAGGGCTCCCCCAGGGCTGGGGGTCCCCCCCGGGGCTGAGGATGAGGGGTCCACCCCGGGGCTGGGGGCTCCCCCCCAGGACTAAGGATGGGGGCTCCCCCCCAGGACTGAGGATGGGGGGTCCCCCCGGAGCTGGGGGCTCCCCCTCGGGGCTGGGCATGGGGGGTTCCCCCCGGGGACAGGGGGTCTCACCCGGGCCGGCCAGTGCGGGTACCCCTTCATCTTGGCGAAGACCAGGTCTCCGGGCTTGAAGCTGTGCGGCATGGCGGGGCCGGGCCGGGCCGAGCCGAGCCGGGCCGGGCCGGGCCGGGCTCCGGGGGCGGGGGGAGGGGCGACAGGCCGCAGCAGAGGCCTAGGCCGCTGGCACCGCCAGGGAAACGGGGGTGGGGGGTGGGGGGTGGGGCGGCAGGAGACTGGCCCTCGGCCCGCAGGATGTCCCGCCCCCCTCTCCGCAATCCCGCAGTGCACTGGCTCCCGGGCCTGCCACTCACCTCTCCCCTCCAACCGAGCCTCGGGGTGGGGCCTGGGAAGTAACGGGATTGGGCCGCTGTCTGGGCACGCGGGGCGGAGATGGGGGTGGGGGTAGTGGAGGGGTGGGACCCCGGGGAGATGTGAGGGGGGGGCCGAGGGGGTCGGGGGAGTGGAGGGTCTCGGGGCTCTACGGGCCATGGAGGGGGCCAGGGCCGGGGGGGGGGAGCAGAGGGGTGTGAAGGGGGGGTCTAGGGAGCCTGAGGTGGGGGGAGTATAGTGGACATGGAAGGGATCTAGGAGGGGTGATGGGGCAATAGAGAACGGGGCGGTGGGGACGGTGGTGAGGGACTCTAGGGCATGGGTTATAGAAGGGACTTCTCGGGTGAAGAGGGGACTATGGGGTATTGAATGGTGGGTATAGAGAGGAAGAGGTGATTACAGAGGCTATAAAGTGAAGGGGTATGGAGGGATGAGGGGTATAGATGGGGTAAGGGGTATGGAGGCATGAGGGGTATAGATGGGGTAAGGGGTATGGAGGCATGAGGGGTATAGATGGGGTAAGGGGTATGGAGGCATGAGGGGTATAGATGGGGTAAGAGGTATAGGTTGACAGGAATAAAGAGGGTGGTATATAGGTGTACTGGGGAAGGAGGGAGAGGAGAGAATAGAGGGATGGGCTAGAGCAGGGATCATCAAACTAGGGGTCATGACCCCCTGAGGGGTCCTGAGGTTATTACATGGGGGGGTCGCGAGCTGTCAGCTTCCACCTCAAATCCCGCTTCGCTTCCAGCATTTATAATAGTGTTAAATATAAAAAAGTGTTTTTAATATATAAGAGGGGGTCACACTCAGAGGCTTGCTGTGTGAAAGGGGTCACCAGAACAAAAGTTTGAAAACCGCTGGGCTGTAGGGAAAAGAGATAGTATGGAGGGTTTTACAGTGCAGGGCTGTGCTACCTAGGGAGATGAGAGAGATTAGAAGAGAGATGACCTAGTATATGTATTCTTCATGCTGTATCCCTTTAATGCCCCTTCTTACTGCTTTGCTCCATTTTGTTCCCTCCACTTCCTTGTCTTCCCCAGGCTTTCTGGTCTGCCCTGAAACACTGATTCTTTTGGGAGGCTGATTTGCACTGTGATGGGTGCGGTGTAAGAACCCATACAGACTGATCACTGTATGCTGGGGCATTTCCCAGGCTGGTTGCCGGGGGATAACAATACGTAGCTCTTATTACAGGACACGGGGGTGGTACAGGTGACAATGGAGCAGAGTTAGTATTGCATCCTTCACCTTCTTTGTTGAAAGTGTTTGACATTAATTGCACAAAGACCCTCAAAATTAAACACAATAATAATTAGGACATCCCTTCTGGCCTGAAAATTATTAATTTATAATTAAATATGCCTATATATATCCAGAAACCTGCAGCAGTGGGAGAAGGGACCTTCCAATCCCCGTCACCACAGGTGTTATGGAACTGAATTGTTTTCTTTGTCCTGTTTAAGTGATAAGCCTCTAGACTAGGGGCAAGGACCATGTGTTCCCCCGTCTTGTTATGGTGCTGCGTGTAACACACGGGCTGAATGCAGGTAACCCTGTCTCCCTCTAGTGGCTGGCTCTAGCAAGCAAAAGAGCCTACTACTGATAACTAAACAGGTTAGGTCTGACTCCAAAACACCCTTTCGAGTTAATGGGATTCTTGAATGAGCATTTGGAAAAAGGGGCTTGTGTGTTCAGACCCTAACCCTACACCCACTGAAGTCAATTGAAAGCCACCAACAACTTCAGTAGGCTCAAGATTCGGCCCACAGAGCCCAATGCAGGAAAGCCTCTCTTCAGGGTCTGAATGATGAAAGTGCTGAATTTGACTCCTCTTGACCTGTCTCTGTGCATCTGGCCATATTTCATTACCCTGACAACGCTCAATAAATACTATAATATGAATAACAATCGCTAATACTTAAAGAGACAGCTAGAGGAACGAAACATAGGCTCTACAAGTGTGACAACATTGTCAACAAGCAGGGACAAAACTTAATTATAGAAATACAGTATAATCAGACTGCCAAAAAAATCAGGTAAAATCGTTTTGGAGAGGTTTGGATTTGAACACTCCTCTCTGATGTCTGCAACCCAAATGCAGCAACATTGGGCAAGTACGTGAGAACCAGAAAGTGAAATAGAGCAATGTATTGTCCAGGCCCAGGCAGAGTAAAGTGCAAAAAGCATTTGTAAACTAGAGTTTTAATATTGCTTGGGGCAGATTCTGGCTCTTGGGGCTTGTCTTCATAGACAGCGCTACAGCTGCACCCCCAGTGCAGCCATGCCACTGTAGTGCTTTAGTGAAGATGGTCCTCCGCCAACAGGAGAGCTTCTCCCATCGGCATAGTTATTCCACCTCACGGAGAGGTGGTAGCCATGTCTGCAGAAGAAGCTCTCCTGCCAACATAGCACTGTCTGCATAGGGGATTAGGCTTTTTCATATCCCTGAGCGATGTAATTATACTGATATAGGTCTGTAATGTAGGTCTGGCCTTAGTGACAAGAGGGCTTTCAAAAGGAACTTGCAAAAGTGTAACTGAGTTTTAATAACCCCAGGTAAGGGGGTTAAAATGCTGGTAAGGGAATGTCCTTCTTGTATATATGGGGCCAGATTCTGCACAGTTATATAAACCCAGATGTAAACCCAGAGTAACTCCACTGAAGGCAGTTAAGTTTATCCTAATGTAACCAAGAGTAGAATCTAGACCCATATATTTTATACTTGACAGTATCCCTTTAATTCCAAAGTGCAATAGAACATATCTTTGTAAATCTGTCCTTCATTGCATAATGCCAAGAAAGGAACAGAGAGCACTGAAAGGAATTGGGCCTGGTCTTTGAGGAGGGGGTTGGACTAAATGACCTCCTGAGGTCCCTTCCAACCCTGATATTCTATGATTCTATGATACACACAATGTTGTATTTTGAAACCTATTTAGTTAAACCAGTGCAAAAATTTGAATCCTACTGCTTTAGGTAAAGTTGATTCCAAGTCAATTTAAGCTAAATTGATACAGGTCAGGATTAAGTGGCTTCAAGAGAATCCACGCAGGAGTTTGCACTAATTTAAGTAAATTGATATTAAAACTCATTTTAGTTAAACTGGTGTCATTTCTATGTGAAGCTCTTAGAAACAGCAAGCCAAATTCAGCAACCATATGAAAGCTGTTGAAAGTTGACATGAGGTGTCAACAAAAATAAGCATGTGTGTGTATGACGTAGGCCATGTCTAAACTACATTTATGTCAGCAAAACTTTTGTCGCTCAGGGCTGTGAAAAAAAACCCCTGTCCTGAGTGACATACATTTTGCTGGCATAAGCGCTCGTATGCACAGCGCTGTCGGTGGGAGACACTCTTCCCCTGCCAGAACTATCGCTGCTCATTGAGCTGGTTTTATGATGTTGATGGGAGAGCTCTCTCCCATCTCCATGGCTGTATGGATATGGCTGTGCCACTCGCTGTAAGTTTGTAAGTGTAGACAGGGCCTTAGTGACAACTTGTCAAAACTAGCTGGATGTGCCGGCGAGGAGCATAGATTTACACAATGAAAACATCCACACCCTTTATTTAAAAAACATTTACATAGCAATTCTCCCCCTGGGGAGAGGATGAGTGAAAGAAAGAACCTCATATGACAGATGTTAATCATGTTGCTTAATGCATGACTGGAAGGCATTCAAATACTGATGTGATGAGGGGGAATTAAGAACCTATGTAGAGTAGAATAGAATAGCACCTAAAAGCAAAGGGGGCGGGAAGGGATGGGGAGTTGGGCGGGGAAAGGGATGGGTGTGGTGTGTGGGGGTGTGGGAAAGGGCAGGGAGTTTGGTGGGGGAAGGGACGGGGAGGGTGTGTGGGAGTGGGGGAAGGGATGGAGAATGGTGTGTGGAACTGAGGTGAGGGCAGTGTGTGGGGGCAGGGGAAGGGATGGGGTGGTGTGTGGAACTGAGGTGGGGCAGTGTGTGGGGGTGGGGGAAGGGATGGGGTGGTGTGTGGAACTGAGGTGGGGCAGTGTGTGGGGGTGGGGGAAGGGATGGGGTGGTGTGTGGAACTGAGGTGGGGCAGTGTGTGGGGGTGGGGGCATGGACGGGCAGTAGGATGGGGGAAGGGATGGGGGATGGTGTGGGGGGGGGGCGGTGTGTGGGATAAGGGCTGGGGGCGGGGCAGGGTAAGAGACGGGGGTGTGTGGATGTGGAGTGGGCAAAGGAACAGGGAGTGGTGTGTGGGGACGGGGGAAGGGATGGGGGATGGTGTGGGGGGAGGGGCGGGGTGTGGGGGAATGGATGGGAGACGGTGTGGGGGGAGGGGCAGGGTGTGGGGGAATGGAAGGGGGGACAGTGTGGGGGGGAGGGGCAGTGTGGGGGGGAGGGGCGGGGTATGGGAGAAGGGATGGGGGACGGTGTGGGGGGGACGGTGTGGGAGGAGGGGCGGGGTGGGGGGGCGGGGCAGGGTAAGAGACGGGGGGTGGGGGTGGAGTGGGCCAAGGAAAGGGGAGGGGTGTATGGGGGGCGGGGGAAGGGATGAGGTGGTGTGTGGGCGGAGGGGCGGGGGAAGGGATGGGGGACGGTGTGGGGGGAGAGGCGGCGTGTGGGAGGGATGGGGAGGGGCGGAGTGTGGGAGGAGGGGCGGGGCGGGGTGGGAAGGGGTGGGAGGCGGGGCAGGGTAAGAGACGGGGGGGTGTATGGGGGCGGGGGAAGGGATGAGGTGGTGTGTGGGCGGAGGGGCGGGGGAAGGGATGGGGGACGGTGTGGGGGGAGAGGCGGCGTGTGGGAGGGATGGGGAGGGGCGGAGTGTGGGAGGAGGGGCGGGGTGGGGGGGGAAGGGGTGGGAGGCGGGGGGTGGTGTATGGGGGCGGG